CCATGTGATTGGCTGATTAGAAATTAAGTGTTAACGAGCAGTTGGACAGGTGTACCTAATAAAGTGGACGGTGAGTGTATGTTTATCAAGCAAAGTCTAAAGTTACAACTAATCAGGGATCCCTTTAAAACCAATCAGACAGAACTGAGACTCTTACCCTCCCGGCAGGAACATCTGAAGGTGAGCGTGGGATCCATTTCGTTCTCGATCTTGATGAGGGCGTYCAGAACCATCGCACCACAACTGTGTTCGCAGGATGACAATCAAACACATGACAGCGGCGTTTCATCGTGAGAGACTAACGAGTAAAGTACAGCTCGGCAGCGTTCTCTTCCTTGATTGGTTCGTAACTTAGGTGTTGAGATCAAYGTCGTACGTCTGCATTCGTGCTTTGTCTCCGGGGGTGTCTGGGTCCCAGCGGTAAACTCTTTATCCTGGCTTCAGGAGCCGGAGCGACTGCAGTCTGAGCGCACCGCACCATCTTTATTACAGATGACAATCAAGGAAATCAATATTCTTATTTGTTTACTTCAATTTAGAAGTTACACACACAAAAAGGGCAATAATTACACTTAGTGCTATATGAAAAAAAGCATAAAAATTGTGGCAGTGTTGTCCTGGAAGAAGCGGCTGAGAACCTGAAGGTGCTGCGTTGTCACGTGATAATTTTTTGTTTTAACCCAAATTTCTCATGAATCTTTGGATGAATTTTGAGCAGAAGTTTTTGAAAAGTAACATTTAGAGCTGAGTCACGTTTGGATCAAACCAATTCAAGATGGCCCCCACAGCCTAGTGACACAAAAGTGGCTTTAAGTTACAGAGTTTTACAGATATTGAGCCAAAATGAAGTGGGAGTAGCTGAGAGTCATCCCCAACACAAACTTTGAGTCCAACTTCTTGTCTTCTTTAGATTTTAATGGCAGCTTGCATCCATTAATGTTACACTACTGCCATCTGTTGGATCCTAACACCTCAAATTCTCATAAAAATCCCAATATTTTTTTTAAAAACACGAAAAATCCTCTTCTTCCCCTCATTACGTCCCAACCACATTCTCAAACTTTAATTCCTCATCAAAACCTAACTCCGTTTTTAATCATCTTCTTTGATTTGCATATGTTCTGCAGTTAATAAAAACACGTTCCACCGTTTCTGCAGCATCATACCAACTACATAAACCAGTAAGATGTTTCTCCATCTTAAAAAGATTTCCATTTAAAAACCTGTGCCCGGTTCTTATTCTGTTTATAATTACCTCTTCCCTCCTGTTTATTCATCTGATCCTTACAACATCTATGGATTTTTGTATCCTATATAAACGTCTTCCGTTTATTTCATTATCCCACCTAATTTTCCATATCTTCTTGCTTTCTCTCCAAACTATACTTTTGCCTTCAGATTTAGATAATTTTATTGGTAAATCAATTTCTTCTTTTTTATATAGCCTTCTTTGCTATATCTGCTCTTTCATTACCCAAAATACCTACAGGAGCAGGAGTCCAGAATATTACTTTTTTTATTTTGTTCACATATCCGATGATAAACAGCCATAATTTCATATAATATACTTTGATGATTATTTGTATGTCCTTTTTAAATACTCAACAATGCAGATAATGAATCACTACAAATTGTTTTATTTATATTATTATCCTCCACCCATTAGAAAGATAATAATATAGCACATAATACTGCATATATACTCAAATAATTTGTTCTTCTTGAAATATTAATCTTTCATTCAGGAATCACTACAGCTATACTGGTTGTTTCATTTTTTTTAGGTCTTTTGAACCATCAGTATAAATTTGCAAATAATTATTATGTTTATTCTGTATCTGAATATAAAATTCTTGGCAAATATCTATATTACTTTTCTTAATATTTGATAATGATCTGTCTACATTAATATATTTCCATGTCCGTGTTGGTTTCAAAGGCCACAACTAAATTTCCAACTTCTTGTGATATCTATGTGTATTATAATATTAATTAGAACAATTTTTAAAATCACTTTTGAAATAAAATTAACGAAATTAGTATCGCCTAATGATTAATGTCAAGC